GGTTACTGGTTCAGATATGAAAATAGAATTGTATATATTCCTAGGATTGTGGAAGGATTGATTTAGAAAGTTTTTTCTTTCTATTTCTTTCTTTCTATTTTTGTACTTTCTATTTTCTCTTCTTTCTATTTTTTCTTCTTTCTATTTTCTCTTCTTTCTATTTTTTCTTCTTTCTATTTTTCTTTCTTTTTGTTTATTGCAGCAGCCTACTGTATAAATATGCCCATTGACAATAGAATGAAACATATCAGTATTCTACCATTCCAAAACAAGAACATTATAATAAGAATACAATAATTCTTAAACTATTTAGTATTAAGCTATTTAATTTTGGAGAGTAATATAGTCATTACTTTCAAAACTGTCCTGGCAAATAATTGATTCTAAATGAGCATTAACCWGTACGACTTCTAGTCCTGAGATATTTTAACTGCTTATTGACACATCAAAATATGCTACATTTTTCCATGGGGTTATTCTTTTGAGTTAAAATATTATTATTAATACTTGACACATGGTGAAACAAGTCATCTTTGATAATTCTGTCATATTATTTCACATGTAACCTTTGTGTACACCTTTATTTACTGGTGGTTAGCATTTTACTTTGGGTATATGTGGGGATGCACATGGTCAAGGTTTACATCTGCTACATTCATGACAGTATTACTTGAATGATCATTAGTGGTTATCTTGAAGTGCTATAACTGGTCAATTCTTTGGATGCAGTGCAATCTTATTTGCACTACTACAAATGCATAGGAGTGCAAATTAAAAGATTGCAAATTCTGGTTTAATTTTTGGTTGGGTTTTACTTCAATCTGTTTCAGGTCTTAAAAGAATGCAAATTCTTGTTTATTTGAAACAAAAATAATTCAGAATTTGCACTCAAATCATTTGCACTCTCATAGTTTTGCATCAGTACAAATTTATTTGCATTGCAACCAAACACAACCAATGATCATTTGTTATTTCTTCTGCTGTTCATGTACGCTGGATTAGCTTTTACCACCTGATGCATCTACGAGGGAAGATTGCTGGTATGGTTTTGCATGTCGTACACAGCATCACAATGAAGAACATGCTCGTAAAAGAAATCATGTTTGTCGTCCAACCAGGGGCAACAATGTCTAGTCATGAAAACTAACTTTGTACACATGTTTATCCATCTTATGCATACATGCGTGTGCTTTTAGTTCTATGTAAATATAATACACTTGTTTGCCAAATAACTGCATTTAAATTCATGAAACCTCAGCATCAATCTAATGATAAATTATATTAGAGTTCTGTTAACACTTACCTATTACAATGGATTTGATCAAGGTTCAAAATATCGATATGCCCGATACACTGGTATGGGCGTACCGGGCGAATTGATACTATTTTTTTTAGTTTTTTTTTTTTTATTTTTGAAACTGGTTCAGGGGGGGCAGTTTAGGTCTCTGTCCCCTGAACCGGTTAGACCCCCGATACATTCACTATAGAGGCATATAGGTGAGGTCCTAGAACGATACGTATCGGTCAATACGGGCCAATACGTGTCGATACTTTGAACCTTGGACTTGATGATTGTGATGATCGAAATCCGCCGATGTTAACACTTACCTATTACAAAGAGAAAAGGGGAGACCAGAGAAAGAGGAAAGAGGAGGCTGCTACTAAATCCACGGCTGCAATGAGTTGTAGTGGCAGTGGTGGCGGAACTAGGGAAGGGGAAGGAGAGTGAAAAAGAAAAAGAGGGAGAAATAACCCAAAAAAAATACAGACAAATTAACGGACGGGAGCTCAGGGAAGAAATTTGCCGCCATTGTTGCTTGGTCGAAAGGATGACGACGAGTGAATACTGTCTCCTCAGATCGATGCAAACCCACTCGATTTTTGATTCACTCGAGGAACTCAGATCAATTGACTCGCACGGCCCCGACACTTGATACTGATATGCTGCTACAACACTGAAGATTGTCATTGGTTGGGTGTTAGAAACTGAAAGGAACAAGCATATTTAGGTGCTCAACGATCAATTGATTCGCACGGCCCTACTCGATTTTTGATTCACTTGGAACAAGCATATATAGGGGAAAACAACTTTGTGCCCAACTTAGCCAACGACGTCAACTAACSTATTTGAATGAAACATCAATCCTACAGGAGCAAGTAAGATACACTATAAATCCACCAAATCTAGGCTTAACCTACAAAAACCCTTTAACATAATGTAACTAAGCTTATAACAATGCTAAACTCAATAATCAGAAAAAATCAACAAAACACACAACATAAACAATTTCACCCCATTAAAAATCTAGCCTAACCAACTCAAAGCAATATAAATAATATACACATTTGTCGATAAAACTAACCTAATCGAATAAAACTTCAACCTTGCAGGAGCACCCAAGGAACACTAGAGATCTAGCAAATCAAGGCCTAATCTACAAAAATCCTCTAGCATAATGTAACTAAGCTTATAACAATGCTAAACGCAATAATCAATAAAAACCCAGCCCAACAAACTATATAAACAACTTCACCCATTAAAAATCTTACCTAACCAACTCAAAACAATATAAATACTGTACAGCTTATGTCGATCCGAACCATACATATTTGACTCACCAAAAATAGCTTGAGAAACAATTAACCTACTCACTTAAATCTATAACAACCAAACCAACGCCATACCTAACTATAAGAAACCTCACCAATTCCCAAAATCCTACATGAACTCCTAAGCACGCAGGAACAAATTTTTCCAAGAATAATCTACCAGGGCGACAAAAGCCCGATAAAGGGAAAACAAACCCAATAATTGTTAATTAACCAAGTTTCTTAGAGCAACAAACAAACCACTCCATTTATAACAATTTATTCTATTTTAAAATCCAATCAAAGTTGTCCACTTGCATTCACCGAAAACAATACTTGCATAAACTCACCTTATTGACCAAAACGTGCCAACCACTTAACCAAATGCATGCGAATGCGAACAAACCAAAGACACTTGGGATCTCTTAAAAGACGCCAAGTCTATAGATGCTMCTAAAACCACTTGGAACAAGCATATTTAGGGGAAAACAACTTTGTGCCCACCATAACTGATGAGGTCCAACTAACCTAATCGAATGAAAGTTCAATCCTACAGCAGTAAGTAAGAAACACTATAAATCCACTAAATCTAGGCCTAACCTATCAAAACCCTCTAAAATAATGTAACTAAGCTTATAACAACGCTAAACTCAATCATCAGAATAAATCAACCAAACACACTACATAAACAATTTCACCCCATTAAAAATCTAGCGTACCAAGTTAAAGCAATGTAAATACTATACACATATGTCGATACAACTAACCTAATCAAATAAAACTTCAACCTTACAGGAGAATCTAAGAAATACTAGAAATCTAGCAAATCAAGGCCTAATCTACAAAAATCCTCTAGCATAATTTAACTAAGCTTATAACATTGCTAAACACAATAATCAATGAAAACCCAGCCCAATACACAAGATTAACCACTTCACCCATTAAAAATCCTACCTAACCAACTGAAAACAATATAAATACTGTACAGCTTATGTTGATCTGAATCATACATATTTGACTCACCAAAAATAGCTTGAGAAACAATTAACCTACTCACTTAAATCTAAAACAACCAAACCAACCCCATACCTAACTATAAGAAACCTCACCAATTCCCAAAATCCTACATGAACTACTAAGCATGCAGGAACAAATTTCTCCAAGACTAATCTACCAAGCCGACAAAAACCCGGTAAAGGGAAAAGAAACCCAACAATTGTTAATTAACCAATTTTCTTAGAGCAACAAACAAATCACTCCATTTATAACAATTTATTGCATTTTAAAATCAAGTTAAAGTTGTCCACTTGCATTCTCCAAAAACAATCTTATCTTCTCTACATTCTCTTGATCTAAACTTGTGAAGACCAAATAAATCAAATCAGCACTTTTCATTCAACCCTACTTGCACAAAATCACCTTATTGACCAAGACATGTGTTAGCACCCAATTTTTGCTCTGTCCCTTCACCTCACCTCTTTGTACCCCCCTCTTAGACCCCAAAAACTTAGAAACACAACCAGATCAACTTGAGACTTTTTAAAATCCAAAATGCCCTCTTTTGACGTAATCCACAGGACAAATAAGAACCTTGAGATCAACAATGTCCAATCAAACATCTTCCCCAGACTTGGAAACTACAATTGAGTTAGACATCACTTTTCATGACTAAACTGCAAAGATCCACCATTCATCACACTAACTTCCTTTCTAATGACCCCGATCTATGCGATATTCAAATTCTAACTCCTCCAAAATCAAATCTAACATATCCGTCACCCCAAGATCTTGAGGAAACAATCAACTAGTGAATCTCACCACAAATCTACAATAACCAACCACAAAGACATCGAGACATCATTCTGGTGGCCTTGAATGATTACCAATATCGACCATATCTTTCTTAGATCAGAACCATCAACTTGACTCCTCACCCTAATCCATGCCTACCCACCAAATGGTAGCTTAAAATTCCCTTGTTTGATCCATCATCAAGCCTAAATCCTATTTTAGCAAATCTCATTAATTAGAGCTTACCATCTGTCATTCCAACCTCATATGACCAATCAGAACTTTTCACATTGTTCAGAGACCCAAAAAACCCTACCAAGTCAAATTTCACGACCAAACACCTCCATTTGTTCGTTGAAAAAGTAAGATTCCATTTTAGACCATTTCATTGATTGAAAAACCATAAGCTAAGACCATGATCTGAACTGAAACAATCAATTTACACTTCTGATAAAAAATCCATCACTTCCATTAGACTCAGGACATTCAAAAGTGCCAACCCACCAAATTTCATCCAAAAATTCCCTCGTTTGATTATTCATCAAAGAAAGAATATATTTCAGCAAATCTTATAAATCCGGACTTGTCAACCATAAATCTCCAAAAATGAGGGCCCTTTTCCTCTAAAAAATGGGTGGCGACTCCAACTCTTTGAGCCGGCCATAAGCTTCCCGGAGCTCACAGCTGGCGACTCCACTGGGGATAACTGGAACATTTACTAAGTGTTATTCAGACTCGGTTTCTTTCTTTTTGTTTTGCGYTGGTAAGTTCAAGACTTGCTGGTTTGCGATTCAAAATCGCACCTCAAGAAGGTTGGGCATGATAGACCTTCCCAACGCAATCACCCCAAAGCCATTCCCATGCCAAATTCAAACCCAAAAACTTTCCCCAAAACCATACCTTTGTTGAAATCGCAATCTGGTTCAGTCCCATCGTAGCCCAGAAATCCAAATCACACCTTCATTTCAACTTCATCGTAGCCCAGAAATCCAAATCGCACATTCATTTCAACTTCATCACAACCCAGAAATCCAAATCGCACCTTCATTTCAACTTCATCGCAACCAAAAAATCCAAATCACACCTTCCGTTCAACCTTGTCACAACTCAGATCAACCTCATCGCAACTCAGATCAACCTCATCGCAACTCAGATCAACCTCATCACAACTCAATTCAACCTCATTGCAACTCACTCCAACCTCATCGCAACTCACATTACCCTTATTGCAACCTAGAAGCCCAAAATCACAACTCAGTCTAACCTCCTCGCAGCTCAGATCACCCTTATCGCAACTCAGTCTAACCTTATCGTAACTCAGATAACCCTCATCGCAACCCAGAAGCCCAAAATCGCAACCTAAATCACCCTCATTGCAACCTAGAAGCCCAAAATCGTAACTCAAATCAACCTCATCACAACTCTGTTCAACCTCATCATGACCCAACCTCATTGCGGCTCAGTTCAATCTCATCGCAACTTAGAAGCTGCTCATCGTACCTTCTTCTTACTCGTCGCACCTTGGAACCTACCCATCGCATTGTACTTTAGTCTTATCGCACCTAATTGTACCCGTCTACCCTTCCCATGCCCGGTTATCACATCACACCCTCTGTCGTAGCGCACTAAGTGTTTACCACGATTTCCTTTTGTTTTTTTTTTTGGTATTTTTTTTCTTTTTTTTTCCCCTCCCCTTCTTTTCCTTTGGTAATCTCTCAAAATTTGTAGTTTTTTCTTTCTCTATAACTGAATGTGTTTATCT